AGTGAACTCAAAACATACGGCTTTATTGTGGGATTGCAGACAGAACAGAAAACTAGCTAAACTGGGAAAGCAAAACTAACAGGCAGGCAAGTTGGCAAACAGAACACACAGTGAAGAATGAGGGATGACGCAATAACGAGCAGGGAAAGACGCTGACACTAAAAAGCAAAAGGACAATGAAAAGGTTAGAATATTTTCTCCAACGAACTTAATTTCATTTCCTAAACATAAATACATTTAAACATTGACGACAGCAACACACTCTAAAAATAAAAAAATGAGACAGAGGCAGATAAGCCTGTAAATGTAGCAACAAGTAACCAGAGGTAGTAAAAGTGCTGATTTTCTTTACTTAAGTAGAAGTACAGATAACTTTGTTTAAAAATACTCCAGTGAAAGTACTGAAGCAACTTTTTTACTCAAGTAAAATTAAAAAGGTACCTGCTCTGAAATATACTCAAAGTGAAAAAGTAGCTCTTTGAAGAATAATTCTACTAACAAGGAAACAGAACCTTGTGCTATATTAACAGGATAATAATGATAAAAATAATGTGATATTAGTAAATCCTTAACTTTAAATTCTAATTCCAATGAATGTCCTTACTTTGAATCTGTTATGTATGAATCTGCAGTTCAAGTACTATTTCCTGTTGCCTATCGGGTGTAGGCAACCTTTTTGATGACGAGTGCCATCTAAAATTTCCTCAGAAGTCAATGTGCCATATAATTGCATTAGCAATAAATTTAATAACGCTCTATATTACTGAAGCATTTGAAGTGTCAGAACGTGGAAATGTCAACATCGCTTGAAAAAACTGACAGCTAGCAACGTCCCTCTCACCAGTAGGCTAAGTGATTTTTAGCCAGTTACAAGTTGAATCTGGTAGTTGGGGTTGTTAGCTGAGATACCGTCATTAAGAAGAGGCACAACTAATGTGTCTATGTGAGCTAATTTGCGATGTGCACCGCTGGCCATTTACTTTTTAATGCACCCTCTCAGATTAATTCACTGCGTGTCGTGCCCAGGGCTGAACTGGGACAAAAAATTGGTCCGGGCTAGAGACGTGGCCCACCAGGTATTACAGGAAAATCCATAAAGCCTTTGAATGAAAAGAAACGCTGCTGTGACAGTGATGTACAGTCTTGTTGGTATATGTATGATTTCTATACATTTTACATCAGATAACAAACTTTGGTTGTAAGATTTGGAGAGTATTTATTAAAAGCTAGACATTATAAATGAGAATAAGAAAGTATTTCTTTGTGCCCCCCTTTCCCTGTTAATGCCCTACCTGGCCCCCTGGCAAAACTTTGCTAGACCCGCCCCTGCACAGTTACCAGCTGTCAGTGTAAAAAAGGATCCTGGTGTTATTTGTCTCTCAGAAACAGTTCATAACTTCACTTCAACTCATTCATGTCACCTAAAAGGTAAACCTGTTTCTCCATCACCTGTTCAGCTCTGATGATTCAGTAAGGACGTCTCCTGGTTTCATCTTCATGTTTCCCTCTCACCAGATATACAAACCGATATCATGACCAGCAGCTTTACAGCTGTGGCTCCAGCAAACATCAGCTGATACTAGAAATTAATATTAAATAAATTCTAACAACAGCTGATCAAGCTTAAACGCGCAGCTGTTGTTTAGTGCGACATCTGCTGGTTTCTTCTTTCTGGCGCAAAGTGGGTGATAAACAAACGAGAGACAAATACCGATCAGCTGATCATTGATCAGTTTCATGATTGAATGAGAGAAGAAGAGGCAGCTGACAGCGTAAAGATGCAGAATAACTCCAGCTTTGTGTCTTTTTTCATCCTAGCTGAAGTCCAGGACAAACTGCGTTCCTTTTCAGCTCAATACCAAACGTGTAATATTTTCTCTGAATGAGGGACGATTCCGTTTTTTACGGGACGGTTGACAACTCTACTAACTATCCTTATGAATTAAATAAAGTTTAACATCAGTAACATCCTAGCACCCACCCAGCTGTATAGAAACTCCGTCATGCTAGCTAGCACGCAGTACGAGTTATTGTAACTGACTGTAAAAACTCAGCATAACGAAAATAAACTGCACCTAAACTTGGTTTATATCTGACCCAGAGAGACTGCAGGTCATAACTTCTTACCTGAAGTTCAGTTCACCTGACACTCGGACCGGCGGCCGCCTTGGGTCTCTCCTCCTCCTGCCTCCCCTTTCCCTCATCCACCTGGCCTCTTGTGGCAGCTCCGCCAAAGCCACCACCAAACAACTGAGTTATTTTTACACATCTGCCACCATCTTTCATTGTTTATAGTTCACAGTGGAGAACAGCTGCTGACATAATGTGGATCCGAAGATCCATAATTGGCCTATCTGGGGTTGAAAGTCTTGGTAAATGCATGGCGTTTTGGCGGGTATACCGGCTTCCGCGAGTGTGACGCTTATTTTGAGCGATGAAAAAATAATAGAATATAATTTTATTTTTATATTTCAATATCACAATAATCTTCCAATTTAGAACTACAAGTTAAAAAAACTAACATAAATAAAATACACTTCAGCTAAATACTTCTAATTTATTTTCCCAAACCACGCGGAGCCGCACTATAAGGACTATAGAGCAACATGCGGCTCCGGACCCCTAAACAGTAAAATGAGAACATTCAGGGTTTAAAGTGAGATTCAGCAAGTGGGGGAACCCTAAGATCTGTGTAGAGTCTCAGCACAGGGAAATGAATCACAGCTCACAATAATTTATAATGTGAGCTTCAGTAGATTTTCTGTTTAGACTGTGATCAGCTGACCTGCTGCTCCTTGTGGAATTACACAACTGAATTCAACAAGACATCAGCAGTTTCACAAGCTATCATGGCTGCTATCTATCCCCTACACTGAAACAATATACTATATACTTGTCTTTATACCAGTATATATGAAAAATTCAGTTAATTAATCCAAACATCATTATCTTAAATGCAAATTAATCTCTGTTATACTTGATGTAAACCTTAATCTGACCATGAGCACCACAGACACTCTGAATTCACCACATTAATGCAGACTAACCTGTTTATCCTTCACAAAACTACACAAAGTCAGTCTACTCAGTTTATTTGGTATAAATCAAAATACATAATTTATCAAATCACATCATATACAAATCCAATATGTGAGTAAAATGATGACGTCACGTGTAAGCTTTAAATTTGCAGTTTATCAAGTGTTACTGAGCAGTCCTTCCCTTTAAATCTAAGCTCTCTTTTCCTCTTCTGCCCTTTCTTTCTTATATTTCTGAAGTACCACAAACACAACAGGACACCTGCACTCCCTCCATCCCACTTTAACACCCCCAAGTATAAATGCTACAGATGATACCACTGAACCTAAAGTAAGGAGTCTTTTTGAAAGTGCAGATTGTACAGATTGTATAGATATTTGTTTAAAAATGTAGGGAGCAAAAATATAAATACTCAAGTAAAGTACAGATATCTGACAATTCTACTTAAGAACAGTAACAAAGTAATTGTACTTATTCCCAATTTTGCATCTACTAATCGTCTCAATTAGCAGGTTAAGAGATAACTTGTGTGCATGTCAAGCTTTGGTATAAAGGAAGCATCCACCAAAGGTTCAGTCTTTGCCAGCAGAGAGGAAAGAGGAAGCAAATATCAATTTCGTGCAGAAATGCGAACGAGTTTTTTCAGCTTAAGATCATCTGACATGGAACGCATGACTATGGAAATGAGTTCTGTGGTAAGACGAGTGCACATTTCAGCTTGTTTTGGGGGATAACTGGACCTCATATACATTGCAAAGACGAGAAAAAACCCCTGCTCCAGATTGTTACCAAAGAAAGGTGCAAAAACAAACCTTTGTGATAAATGGGCGTGCATCAGTGTCCATGTAATGGGGGATTTGTGAAGGCACTATTGATGCGAAGGCTTACACAGGAACTTTGGAGCGACATATGCTCTTTTCCTAGCAACTCCATGTGTATTTCAACAGGCCTCATTCTGCATAAATTACAACAGGCTGGCTTCACAGACATAAAGTCTGTAAAAAAAACAGGGGATGTGACCCAATGGTAAACTTGCATGTCCCAACTTTTTTTGGAATGTGTTGCAGGCATTAATGTTTAAATGTGTTTCTTGAAATATTTTGTTTACCCCTTTGCCCGCTAACTAAATGTTTAAATGCCGTACCAAATCATAGATTTTAGTGTTTAGTGCAGTTTTAGAAATAGTGCCAAGTTTTCTGGAAATGGGTTTTGTATAATATAAATAGAATCAGTGTCACATACAGGACCCTTGGCCATGTTGCTTTAACGACCACACAAACATTAGGTTTGTAATTGACTGTACTGGAAAATGACCAAAACCCAGTCAAGTAGAGACGAGCTGTGAGTCAAGCCAAGTAAGTACCAATGAAAAAGGGACATTAGTGTTAAAAAACAAAAAAACCCCCAAAAGATCTCAGAATATGACTTTAATATGCATATTCAATAATGTGCAAGACTGCAATTTCATTGTTCTTGACAATGACAATAAATAAATAAATACTAATACTTTTCTTGCATTTACGCAATCTCTAAGATGAGAAATATTCTATCTCAAAGCGATGCTGATAAAACCCCAACGAACTGGCGCCAGGCCGTGGGCATACAAGATTACCCATGCCTGACCACTGCCTCTTACTGAGTGCAGCTCCAGACTGAAACAATCCAGTTCCTCTCTAGGAGACTGGTTCCAGAGCCCAAGCCATGCTTAGAATTGGACACCTCATGAAATAGCTCAGGCTCCTTCCACATCAGAGAGGTAATATTCCATCTCAATTCCATCTTAATATTTTCTGAGCTGCAGGCAGAGTTCAGAAGTCTGAACCTTAGAATGAAACAGACCTATGCTGTGGGCAAAGCTACAGGATTTACAAGAGGAAGGTGAATAAAGCTCTGACTCTTACATCACCCAACTGCGCCAAAGCAGGAAACAGGAAGTTCTTCATCCTCAGTAAACAGAGACGCACAGACGATCAGACTGAGCTCAGACCAAACTAGCAGCTTCCTCTGAGTGAGTCCAGCTACAGGAGAGAAAAGTGGAAAACTCCAACACTGCTGCTTCAAGCTGCTGACGCTCCACACACTGAATGTGAGTTTGAGCAAAAACACGACTCAAAGGAAGTTTCAGTGAAGGTGGTAGAGGAGGGAGGGGAGCCAGGACTGACTGTACTTCCTGTCTGCTGTTTTCAGTTTCACTCACAGACTCAATGGCTTCCAGATCAGAGGAGGATCTCTGCTGTCAGGTAAGTCACGGGGTCTTCAGTATTCACTGTCATAGTCCTGGGTCAGTGACCCAGTGTTTTGAGTTTTTGTATCATTATTGAACTTTGATTTTGTCATTGTTTATTTTTTCTAGTCTTTTGGTTTCTGTTTCTGTGTTCCATGGTTGCTGGTCAATTCTGTGTTTTCTCTCCGTGTCTCCCTGCATTTCTGTTCTTGGTTTCAGGTTTGTTTTGTTAGTTTTTTCCAGTTGAAGTTTTATCCTGGCCTTGCTGTTTCTGTTTGTTTCCACCCATCTTACAAAATAAAGCTCACTCGCATCAAAAGTTGCATCCTATTCTCTTTATCTCTCTTTATCACCCTAATTTACGAATAAATTCTTTACAAATCCTACCATGTGAATTCATGGATTTTTTTTCACATTCTGTCTCTCACAGTTGAAGTGTACCTCTGGTGCAAATTACTGACCTCTGTCATCATTTTAAGTGGGGGAACTTGCACAATCGGTGGCTGACTAAATACTTTTTTGCCCCACTGTAAGAGGTGACGCTTTTCTCTTTAAGCTCCTTAGACTACGATGACCTGGATGACTTAAAATCTTCAAAGACACTAGGCTTGCACTTATTTTCTTCAATCAGTGATGAGTAGTAAGATGTTTTGGCTTTGCGGAGGGCTTCCTTATAAATTAGCAAACTATTTCTCCAGGCTAAATGATGATCCTCTAAATTTGTGACACGCCATTCCCTCTCCAGCTTACAAGTTATCTGCTTTAGGGTACGTGTTTGAGAATTATACCACGGAGTCAGGTACTTCTTATTTGAGTCTCTATTTTCACAGGAGCTACAGTATCCAGTGTTGTACATAGTGAGGAGGTAAAACCATTAACAAAAGAATCGACCTCTGTTGGAGTAGAGTTCAGGTAGCTGCTCTGCTCATTGTTGGTACAGGGGATTGAAGATGATAACAGCGCTTGGATTATATTCTTAAACTTAGTTACAGCACTTTCAGAAAGACATCTACTTTGATAAAGTCTACTCTCCACTGCTGTGTAATCAATTATTGTAAAAGTAAATGTTATCAGGAAATGATCAGACACGAGAGGGGTTTCAGGAAATACTGTTAAATGTTCAGTTTCTATGCCATATGCAGTGTTGGGAAGGTTACTTTTAAAATGTATTCCATTACAGATTACAGAATACATGCCCCAAAATGTATTCTGTAACGTATTCCGTTACATTACTCAATGACAGTAACGTATTCTGAATACTTTGGATTACTTAATATATTATCATGCTTTTTACAACAACGTGAATGTACTATTGCTGTGTGATTTATTACTATTACTGAAGGTCCGCGACTCCAAACTGTAGTAAAGGGACCTCTGACTAATACGGTGGGGTCCCTGTCGGCTCGTAGCCGAAAAATAGCTTTACTTTGTTGTGTGGGTCAACTTTTCTTGCGAAAGACAGAGAGAGGCGTTGAAAGGCTGCTCCAACGGAACTTATTGTTTTCAGAGTAAAACACGAACACGGTGTACAGTCGAGTCTTAATAGCTTACTTACAGCTGGGCTCGTCAGGCTCTCTTCTTGGCTGAAGTGGTTATTATTATATTTACATGGTTCCAGCTCCCCTTTTTGCTCAATGACAACTCGTACCTTTCCACTCCCCTTTTTCTTCCTCCTCGCGCTCACAGACATATAACGTGTATGGCAGTCCATTCTCCCTGCAACACAGACTACACTACCTATGATGCTACATTCTTTAGAGCTATGCTTGTAGCATTCTGCCTGTTAGCTTAGCACAACAACAACAACAACGAAAAGGAGCTCTCTCACCCAGGGAACTACACAGTCGCAGAGAGAGAGAGAGAGAGAGAGAGCGTCGCCCTGTAACCATGGCAACCGTAACACTGCCGCCTGGAACAACAGAACGTAGCTGTCAAACAAAACCCAAACAGTCCTGACCCGCGACAAAATGAAACAGGAAAGTACCGCAGTGTAATCCATTTATTTCAACAAAGTAACTGTATTCTGAATACCACCTTTTTAAACGGTAACTGTAACGGAATACAGTTACTCATATTTTGTATTTTAAATACGTAACGGCGGTACATGTGTTCCGTTACTCCCCAACACTGGCCATATGTTAACTGTGATGGACCGAGCAGTGAAGGAAACTTAGGCACAGGTTAAAGTCCAAAAAAATGATTTTTTATTTAACCCAAAAAACATAATTGGTTAACTCATACAAAAAGAATTAAAATCTTGGTCCCATAAAAGAGGTCAAAATAACAAAACTCTACTCAAAGTTGACAACACAACTGATAACTCAAACAAACTGACCTAACTTAATGAGACAAAGGGGAAACTTAAATAATGGCTGATCAGCCCACAAAAAGGGGTAAAACACACAAAACCTAACTGAACCAAACATAATGAACTCCAATTCCCCCCATGGTCCTGAGTTATGGCGTGAACCAATTTGTAGTCTTCCTTTAAAGCTCGCTCCGCCCCTTTTCCACCTCTTGGCTCCTTAATCAAGGGACTGGAACAGCTGCAACTAAGGTAACTCAGAAAACAAAAAATTAATCATACATAACAGTGTAAACTAAAATGTGTGCACTTATTTTAGAATGCAGTGTTATGTGGATATGTGAATTAACTCTAAACCAAAACCAGTTATTTATTGTCCTGTAAATTAATTCCTATATTTAAAGAAAGAAATGTGAATGCGAGGTTACTTATAAGTAGTGATGGGCAGATGAAGCCCCATGAAGCACTGAAGCTTTTCATCCAATTGGTTCACCCCAACGCGAAGCTTCATGAAGCTTCATTTGCTCTAGCAGGACACCTACTGGACGTAAAAATAATAGCTGGCATGAATTTGAAGAGTGTGGCATTTTGCACACAGCCTGTAAATGTCAACAACAAAAGGAGTGTGTAAAACACCTATAGTGTAGTGATGGCAGTATACTGTGTATATTTATGCTGGCAGTATGGAAAATGATTATTTGCGGCAAAGTTCGAACCGCTTCATGAACCAGTCACGTGGTACAGCCGGGCAGCGAGGCTTCGGACGTCATCATTTTCAGCTCCTCCCATAAATGAAGCAAGCCTCGATACGCGCTTCGCGGAAACGCCCCCTCCATTACTCGACACACGCTCCGAAGCCTCGATACAGAACGTCCCATCACTACTTATAAGCCTCTACACTAACATGGCGATATTACCACTGTGTGGCTGTAAGTGCAGCCATCACACACTCCCCCTCTTCAGAGCTCTCCCTGGGACAGCGAGAGAGACAGTCTGCAGTACAGTTATCTTTGCCGGGGATGTGGTTGATAGTGAACCAGAATGGCTGGATTGCAAGATACCATCGCGTGATCCTTCCATTTGTGTCCTTCATTCTCTCTATCCATTGAAGAGCCTTGTGGTCTGTTTCCAATATGAACTCCCGTCCAAGAAGATAATAACTAAAGGAGTCCAGGGCCCATTTGATGGCAAGTCCCTCCTTCTCGATGGTTGAGTATCGCACTTCCCTCGGAAACAGCTTTCGGCTGATGAAGGCCACTGGATGACGCTCTCCAGGCGGTCCCTGTAACAGAACAGCTCCCAATCCTCTCTCCGAGGCATCAGTCTGAAGAATGAAATTTCTCTCAAAATCAGGGCTGTGCAAGACTGGGCTCTTACTCAGAGATTGTCGTAGGTCCTGAAAAGCCATCTTAGCCTCCTCTGTCCAGGTGATCTTATTGGGACTTCGGGCACCAGTCAGATCCATCAGAAGAGCTGCTCTGGCAGAGAAATGAGGAATAAACCGATGATAGAATCCTGCCATACCTAAAAATGATCTCAGCGGTTTTCTGGTCTCTGGCAAGGGATAGGATTCTATGGCGGTGACCTTATTGACTTGAGGTTTTATTACTCCATTTCCAATCACAAACCCAAGGTACTCAGTTTCAGCCTTGGCAATGGCACACTTAGCTGGATTAACAGTCAACCCTGCAGACTGAAGACGCCCCAATACCTTCTCCAGGTGTTTCAGGTGTTCTTCCCAGGTAGAACTGAAAATCACTATGTCATCAAGGTAGGCTGCAGCAAAATCAGACATGTCAGACAGTATCTGGTCCATCAGTCTCTGGAATGTTGCTGGGGCACCATGCAGTCCAAAGGGCATGACTTTAAACTGGAACAAGCCCCACGGGGTCCGGAAAGCAGTCAGCTCTTTTGAGCGCTTAGTCAGTGGTACCTGCCAATAACCCTTGCAGAGGTCTATTGTTGTCAGGTATCTGGCCTTCCCAAGGCGCTCAACCATGTCATCAATGCGGGGAGTTGGATATGAATCAAATTGTGATATTGCATTCAGGTACCTGAAGTCTATGCAGAAACGGATACTGCCATCCTTCTTTGGCACCAGGACCACCGGGTGGCACCACTCGCTCTTCGAGGCTTCAATGATTCCTAGTGACAACATCAGGTCGATCTCCTCTTTCAACAGGATCAGTAGACGCTGAGGTATCCTGTAACTCATTCTCCTCACAGAAGCTCCATCTTTCAACACAATGTCATGTTCCACAATGTCAGTTCTACCAGGATTTTCACTGACCACCTGAGCCCGTCTTTCCTCAGGAAGATGGTTGAGATCCGAGGAGTGGGTTTTGGCAGATACTGATCATCTACTTCCTCCTCCTCCGAAACCTCCCGGATCAGAAAGACATCTGCCTTTGGCCTCTCCACCCATTCCTTAAGCAGGTTAATGTGCAGTACTCTGCTGGAGCGGGGCTGATCTGGAATAGCGACCTTATAGGTTTTTTGTCCAAGTTTCTTTTGGATCTCATATGGCCCTTGCCACTTTGCTAACAGCTTACTGTCATCACTTGGAAGAAGCACTAGCACCTTCTCACCAGGACTGAAGGATCTTTGCCGAGCTGACTGGTCGTACCAGGCCTTCTGGTGCTGCTGTGCTTCTGCTTTGTGGGCTTGGACCAGCTCCGTCATCTTCCCCAACCGTTCCCGCATCTGGACAA